CACTCAGAAGAGGCAGAGGGAAGAGGGGGCTGCTGGGGAGGGGAAGGGGTGACCAAGGAGCTTTCCTGCCTTCTGTGTGCCTTCCACAGCACCCGGCCCCTGCTTGCTCTCTGGAACGTTCCTGAGAAGTGCCCCTGCTTGATGCAGCAGGAGGGGTGTACCCTGGTGTACAGGGAGGCTGTCCCAGGGCCCTGGTGCCCTGTCCTTATACAGAATGGGCACAGAGTCCCCTCCTTGCAGCAGGTGAAGCTGTGGGCAGAAGGATCTCAGGTGCTTGACAGTTACATACCAGTTATTCTAGCGAGGCCTGGGTTCAGCTAGCGTCTCTGAGTACCTCCCAGCCCAGGGACTCTGGCAAGTTGCTCTCTGAGCCTCAGTACCCCCGTCTGTAGAATGGGGACAAGAACAGGACCTCATCGTGCTGTTGACAGGGTGCTCTGCACTCGTATCTAGAAAAGGCAGCGATTATTGCTCGAGTTACTGAATGCTGGGTGCTCCTCTCTGCTCCTGGCCGGAGGGGCGGTCCCGTGCAGGTGAAACCCTCTCTCCAAGGAACATGAAGCCAAGTGCCCTGTCCTTGAGCCCCTTCTCATCCAGCGTCTCCTTCCAGGAGACTCTGCCTGTCGCATCCGTGGAGAGTTTGTGTTCTGGTGGGGCAAGTGCTGCCCTTGAGTGCTTGGGGCAGTCCCTGGGGACAGGAAAGCTGGCGTGTGACGGGAGGGGCCCTGTGCTCTCTGTTTAAGGAACTGCATCCTTTGACGTGGGCCCTCGGTGAGGGCGGGGATCCTGCCTTTGGCTGAATCAGACTCGTTATCATTTGTTGTGCTTGCTCTGTTCCAGGCAGATCACTCATGTGCCCACTCTAGTGAGCTATGGAACCGGGGCTTCAGGGCCAGACTGCCCGGGTTCAAATCCTCCCTCTGCGACTTCCTGGCTGTGTAACCTTGGGCCAAGTTACTTAACCTCTTTTTGCTTCAAATGATGCATCTGTAAAATGAGGTGATCGTAACAGCATCTAACTCACAGGGCTGCTGTAAGGATCAAATATATAATCAACCCACATATGGTGATAAGAACAATGTAATGATAGTAATGATAAATGTTAGCCATTTATATGTGTTATAATTATCTCCATTTTCACCTGGGGAAACTGAGGCTCAGGGAGATGAATTAACAGCCCAATGGCACAGAGCGATTCCGTCTTCTCTAGCACCTGCCCATTTATTTCCATTTCCACTGCCACCATCTTAATTCAGCCCTTCCTCTTTCCATGCCCAGATCCCCTTGTCTGCCCCATCTAGATTATTTTTTAAATTTATGCCCTATGAAAATATTTGCATAGGAGGTGAGCAGCTCTCTGTGATTTCATCCCCTGGTGATAAGCGTTGTTTAGAGTTTCATGTATGTTCCTCTAGGTTTCTCTCCCTCCCCTGGATATGCTAATTAATATAGATCATTTTTATTTGTCTTTTTTTTGTAAAGATTGGCAGCTGAGCTAACATCTGTTGCCAATCTTTTTTTTCTTCTTCTCCCCAAAGCCCCCCAGTACATAGTTGTATATTCTAGTTGTAGGTCTTTCTGGCTGTGCTGTGTAGGACACTGCCTTAGCATGGCCTGAGGAGTGGTGCCATGTCCATGCCCAGGCTCCAAACTGGTGAAACCCCAGGCCACCAAAGTGGAGCACGCGAGCTTAACCACTTCGCCACGGAACCGGCCCCTTTGTCTTTAGCAAAGATGGGATCATACTATCCAAACTGTGTGCAATTCACAGCAGAAATTTTTCAAAATTTAATTTATTTTTTGAATATTACACTTCCACATGATATAAAATCCAAAGGATATCTAAGCAAGTACTGAAAAATCTCTCCCTCTATATCTCTCCCCAGCCACCCAGTTCCTCACTCCAGAAGCAAACACTCTTGCCAATTTATAGTCCAGCTGCGGACATAGCAAGCTATATATAATTATAGTTGGTAGGGCAGAATATGTGTGTCATAAGTCACAATTTGTAAAAATATGGTGTAGTTTCTAGAAGTGGCGAAACGGGGGGAGAAAAACTTTACGGGGAAATGCCAGGATGCCACTTCCCTCGACCATGCAATGGGTAGTCAGGAGATAGTCTCCTGAGACCATGGAACATTGTGTCATTCATAGCAGGTCCTCACCTGGGGCGATTTTGCCTCCAGGAGGACATTTGTCCATTCCTGGAGACATTTTTGGTTGTCACAGTTTGCAGGGGGTTGGTAATGGGGCGATATCCTACTGATGAGGATTTTTAGGCTGCTTAATTTTAAAATGGTTTATGATGAGGATTTTTAGGCTGGTTACTTTTAAAACTGCAGATGAGAAGCAGGCTCTGAGGACTGGAATTTGCTTGCCCTTGGAGAGATATTTGCATTTGTGAAGGAAGGGGGGGTGACCTTGTAGGGACCTGAAATTGGCCACCCCAGGATGTGTCTCTTTGGCATCGGGACTGTTTGGGGCTGATTGCTTTTGATAACAGGGACAGGGAAGGAGGCTCTGGGGAATGGAACTTGCCCTTGTTGGGACACATTTACATTTGTAAGGTAAATCTCTATCTGTAAAAGGTGCCTCCCTCTCTGTACCAGGAAGAAGAAGGGAGATGACCTTATCCCTAGAAGCTCTTAATGGGGAAGGCAAGAACTTAAGTTGGTTGCTGTCTGGCAATCTCATGTAACTGATTTAGGGTGGTGGCTTCTAACCTTTACTTAATCCGATTTGATTCTTGTCTAAAAGTCATGGGATCACCCAATGACCAGACCCCACCTACACTGATACCATTTTAACTTTTTTTCATGTTCTTTCCTTTGTTTTGTAAAGAGATGACTCACATACCCATGCCTTATAAAATTAGCCCTAACCCTCAACTTGGGGCAGCAGCAGCGGCTCTGCCTGCCCATGGGTCCTGTCCCCATGCCAGCGGGGGCAGCAGCAGCGGCTCTGCCTGCCCATGGGCCCTGTCCCCATGCCAGCGGGGGCAGCAGCAGCGGCTCTGCCTGCCCATGGGCCCTGTCCCCATGCCAGCGGGGGCAGCAGAAGCAGCAGCAGCAGCAGCAGGAGCTCTGACTGCCCGTGGGTCCTGTCCCCATGCTATTCTATTCTCTAAATAAAAGAGCACTACTGCCAGATCTTAAGAGTCTAAGAAATCTTTCTATCGACTCCTTGGCTCACCAACCCCGCATCACTACTGGCGTCCAGTGGATGGAAGCCAGGGATGCTGTTAAACATCCTACAATACTCAGGACAGCCCCACCACCGAGAATTATCTGACGCAAATGTCCGTGGTGCTGCGGTTGAGAACCCTGACTTAGACCTACAAGAGTTGCCGATTTGTCCTTTTGCCTCGCGCTCCAGCTTGGCTCAACTCTGTACCAATTGGCAGGCGGGACCTCACAATCCAGGTGTTTGGTGAGTCTCACGCTGCCGGGTACCATCATTTCACCCCAGGAATAACAGTTCTGGGGCAAACAAAACCATCTTCCTCTCATTTTAAGACCTGACAAATAGAAATGGCAAGCAGTAGGATATATTGGAATATACGGGGAAGCCATTTGGTGTAAACCCAATTCAGCCTGACTTTGTTTTTCCGAAAGGGCCTGACATGGCCATTGAGCATGCATTGTATATCTGCTTTAAACATTTCCTGTGGCAAGAACAAATGCCCTTAAGATAAAGGTGCCACTTCCCCCCCACATTGGCATTTCCTTAAGTATAAGCATCTTTCCTCAGGCTAGGAACTGATTGCTGCGCTCACCTTTGACCACCCAGCTCACCTGTGACCACCCAGCTCACCTGTGGCCACCCAGCTCGAGACAGCAGACCTGCCACCCTGCTGTGTCCACCCAGACAGCAGACCTACCTGCCGTGTCCATCAATCACTGTGCCAACAGAGCAGTCTCGTGACTGTTGTAAAAAGGACATTTCAATCATATGTGAAACATCCTCTTTGGGGGTATATAACACTCTGTACACCCCACTTCTTCGGTGCCTTTTCTTCCTTCCAGAAGAAAGGCCCTGGGCCATGGTCCTCACATTTTAGCTCAGAATAAACTCACCCAAATTTTCATTTATAGATTGGTGATGGATTATTTTCGTTGACAGAACTTTCTTCTGATTGTCCAACTTATAAACCAAGTCTGTCTCTATGATGGGAAAAAATTCTGCCACTCCTTTGGAAAGCCACGATTTTGTGCTTATTAGGGGCGCTAATACATCAAAGGTTGGGAACAGTAACTGTGGGCCCCCAGTTACTCTTGGGAATTCCAGACATAGGATTTTCTTTTAGGTGATGCCCACCCAGATTCAAATGCCATAGAAACGGAACTGGTTTGTTCTGGCATTTGTAAAAATATGGAAATCTTACCATAGGCCTGGGTCATTTACTTCCTTCTTTCTTTCTGCATGAATAAAGAATGAATGAATTCCAGAGTTCACTGTGCCTGGAGGATTAGCATTCTAGCCACTGCCAGTTTCTCTCTGGGAATTTGGTCTTAGGTGGCTGGAAGTAACCTGAGCAGGAAATGGTCCAACATTTCTCAAAGGTTAACCCATTTAGCTCTTAGGAGGTAGGGTGTATCGTCCCCATTTTGCAGATGTGGGGGGCGGGGATTGAGGTTCAGAAGGGTAGAGTTGTAAAGTGCTGGAGTCAGGGTTCGCGTCAGTCAGCCTGCCTTGAAACGTGGGCTGATTCCATGCTGCCTGTCCTTCACCTCTGGCAGGGAAGCAGTTAAACCTGTAAGATCTGAATGTTGCCCCAGGGGCTGAATCTGCAGAACATGGTGGCCCGTGCCTGACGGTGTCTGGTGAAGCCTGGGGTTCTCCAGCAGGAAGAATGCTTTGTTGCAGAAAGGAAAAGATAGTTTCTTTCTGTGCCACCTCACTCTGGGCGGGGAGGATCCGGGAAATTAATCTTACTTACTTCCTTATAACTCTAAGAAATAAAATAACCTTTAGAAAGGACTTTGATCTTTTTATTGCACAGATGCTGAAAGAATATTGATGAGAGGGAGGTGCTGGGGTTCAGGAAGAAAGAAATGCACCGTTCAGCTCCAGACAGTGTGCTTCTTAGCAAACCCAGCATGCAGAGGCCGCGGTGCGGCCATCATGTCGCAGGTCAAGGACTGATCTGCGTTTAACCCGGCGAGACCTGGTTCTTCATTGGCTGGCGAGGGAAGAGATGATAACCAGAGTGGCATAAAACTGCCACGGAGCTGGTAACTATCTCCTTCCGGGGAGCCAGTGGCCAGTGGTACGACGGAGAGAGCAAGTCCAGGGCTGCGTGTAAGGCAGAAAAAGATGGGCTAAGAACCAAAGAGGGCCCACTGCCTTGGCAGAGTGGAGGGGACACCTGTGTGTTCCCGTAGGCCTGAGGGCAGGTGAGAGGCTGCTTTGGGGGAGGGCCAGGGGACACAGAAATGATGGGGAGCACTTGGGGATGCGTCGTGGGAGAAGGACAAAAACTGGGGCTGTCCTGTTGCGCGTTGCGGAATGCCAGATCCAGAACATGCACCATAAATATTGGTTGGAGGAAAGAATGACTGGGTAGGTGGGAGCAAGGGAGTGTGTTGTCTTAGCAAGCTTTAGAGCTGTCTGCTTGAGTGGGAACCTGGGCTTCCTGGGTCCTAACTAGGAGATGCTGGGGGAGTTTTTGTCACTTTCTGGCCTCAGTTTGCTTGTCTGCAGAATGGGTGGTATTCTAAGAGCTCCCACCTCCACGGATGCATATCAGCGCTAATAAGAGAATATGGTACACGTGAAGTCCTCAGGAAATGTCATCTCTAACCACTTCTCCTCTTCCTTCTCCTCTTCCTCTTCTTCCTCTGATGACAATGATGACGATGATAGTCAAAATTCAGATAGAAAGGCATGGGTTCAAATCCCATTCTGCCTCTGTTTAGCTGTGTGGCCTTGGGCAAATTACTTAACCTCTCTAGGCCTCAATGTAATCATAAAGTGGGGATAATAGTACCTCTCCATAAGGTTATTTGAGGATTCAGCAGCTAATACATGTGAAGGGCACAGCACAGTGCCTGGCACTCAAGTAGCGCTCAATAAATGGTGCCGTCTTTATGCTTATTATTGTGGTTGTCGTTTGACTAGATTCCTCTGCTGTGGAGTGGGGAAGAGAGGCACAGTGGAGATGGGTGTCAAGGCAGTGGGGTTTATAGTCTTGTTTTGCCAGGAAGGGGCCTCTCCCAGGAGGCAGAGTCAGGTTCAAGGTATAAACAAACGTCTTTCTAAGTGTTTAGTGAATCACTCGATGGAACACATTCGCCATGAGTTCCCGGAATGGAGTGGTGGATTAGACTAAATTAGTGCTCAGATCATTTCCAGCTGCCGAAGGGTCAATGTTCCTGGAGATAAACCCCAGCTGATTTCCAGGAAGGACGCTCTTTATTCATAGGAGAAGAAAGAAGGGACTGATAAAGATTTCTGTATTGTTGCAAAGGCTGGGACAAACAGATTTCGTTTTCTGAGGCATTTGAATCTAGGTGGGTATCATTTAAAAGAAGAAAAGGAAGGCCTGTTTCTATAGTTCACAGGAAGAACTGGAGACCACCGTTACTGTGATGTTTGGTGTATTAGCGTCCCCCCCACCCCCGCAAATGCCAACTCGTGGCTTTCCAAAGGAGAGGTGGAATTCTCTCCTGTGGTGGAGACTTGACTTACAAATTGTGCGATCGCAGGGAAGGTCTTCAAATGAGAGGAGGTAGGTGGTGGGCTCCAGGCAGATGGCTCTATTTGCCCCCACGACTGTCATTTCTGGGGTGAGATGAGGGTACCTGGCAGCCTGTGACTCAAGGAAGAGCCAGACTGCGGGGGCCGGCCTGCCCGTCAGTGTGGAGTCCAGCCGAATTGGAGCAAAAGGATAACCAGTAATCCCTATCCTGTCTTTACTGCAAATGTTGATATTTTGTTCATCATGGATTTTTGCCTTATTTCCTGCTTTAAAAAATATTGCATTTGAGCCAACCCTGAGGGCTTGGTTTTTTTTTTTTTTTACTCTTTTTTTTTTTTGAGGAAGATCAGCCCTGAGCTAACTACTGCCAATCCTCCTCTTTTTTCTGAGGAAGACTGGCCCTGAGCTCACATCCATGCCCATCTTCCTCTACTTTATACATGGGACACCTGCCACAGTATGGCTTGCCAAGCGGGGCCATGTCCACACCCGGGATCCGAACTGGCAAACCCCGGGCCGCTGAGAAGCGGAATGTGCACACTTAACTGCTGTGCCACCGGGCCGGCCCCAGGCCTGGTGTTTAAAGTTTGGTGCTCTCACACCTTCAGTTGCCCCTGGTTCTGTTCCAGGTCATGAAACCACACCACCCGTCTGTCAGTAGCCCTGCTGTGGTGGTGGCTCACACAGAAGAACTAGAAGGACTTACAACTAGAATGTAGAACCATGTACTGGGGCTTTGGGGAGAAAAAAAAAAAAAGGAAAAGACAAATACTGCATTAAAATATTATTTATCTTGATTACAGGAATTTTGGGGACCCTCTTAAATTTGCATCCCAGGCCTCCCTCCCTCACTCTACTCCTGGCCCTGCAGCAAATAGCACCGAATCTAGAAACTTCCCAAGCTTAACATCATACTTACCCAGCATGGGCAAAAAGATGGCCGAATTCAAGATGTGAGTGTTGAAGAAATGAGTTAAAAAAAAAGAGAGAGCGAGATTTGGCTTCTCCGAGAGGAAGGAGCACTTATGATACTATATTTCAAACTAAACGCCAGTCTTCTGCTTCAAAACCCCTGTGTCCAGGCTGCTGCTACCTACTTAGGGACACTGATCTGATTGTCCCAAGACCTGCACTACTCATTTCTTCGTATTTTTAAGTCCTTACTTAATTTTCATATGTTTTAATGGGATTTTCGGACATCATATATTTTATTTTCAAAAAGCCATAAGTAAGAGGTATGCACATGTCAAAAAATATTCCGAATGATACCAAAGGGTAGGCAGTGAAAGTTGCGTGCTTCCTTCCCCTCTGTCCTGCGCCAAATCCCACACTGCAGAGGCGACCACCCTTAACCATTGCTGGGTTTCGTTCTTTCACTGGTTACCATCAAAAGTCTAAATGATGTCTTGCTTTGTCCGATGTCCATAGTACGCATTGACTCTGTTATAGGAAAGCTCAAGAATTCAGCTCACTGACACTTCATTTCCTCTCCTTTCTCTCTTCCCCTTTCTCCCATGTGGTTCCTTCTCTTCCATTTTTCTTATTTATATTTTTTAATTTGCTCCCTTTTGCGGGTCTAAATTAGGGTTTCTCAACCTTGGCACTATTGACATATCGGGCTGGATAGTTCTTTGCTGTGGGGGCTGTCCTGTGCATTGTAGGATGTTTAGGAGCATCTCTGGCCTCCACCCACTAGAGGCCAGTAGCACCCACACACCCACACCCTAGTGTGGCAACCAAAAATTTGCCAGACTTTGCCAAAAATCCCCGGAGGCAAGTCCCCCCGAGTTGAGAACCACTGCTGATGGTATACTTACAGTTCCATGACCTTTGGACAGTATTTCCTGACTCCCCACATCACAAAATGAGGACATTAGCACCTTGACACTCTCCTTTAGTCAGGATCTTCTCTCATCCATTTCCCTACTTCTAGAAACTGTCGTATTTTTACAAGTCGTGGCTTATAAACATGTATCTTCTGTCGTATAAACTGTAATTATGTTTCTTTGTCTCTGGGTGGATTCTTAAATTGAAAACTAGTATACATGGCTACAAATTTACAGTTACGTGCATGTTAGGGAAGTTGGATCAGAGAAAAAGACACGCAATTTGCTAAATCTGAGCCATCAAGGAAACTGATCCCTAAATCCCGGTGTATTGAGTTGTTTTTCTCGTGGACTCCCTTAATTGCTCAATCAGGTCAGAGTTTAGTGATTTCATTTCCGGATCGTGACTTTCTTATTCAGCTTTTGGGAGATGGCCTGCAATTTCTATTTGTCTTTAATTTCTCTTGTTGACAGAGAAAACACACAGCGTTCACCCCATCTCTGAGGTCACCAGGCTCTGACTCATCCTCTGTGGGGCGGCAGAATTTGCACCAAATGCTTTTCAGGCCTGAGTACAGCTGTTGACCTGTGGTTTCTTTTTATGGCCTCTTGAAGGTCCTGCCGTCCTGCGTCTCCAATACCTTCTGTGTCTCCCTTCAGCTTATTCTCGAGCAATTTTTAACGGACAAGTGCGCGGGAAGTAAACTTTCTTCCACTTTGCGTATCTCCCCACGTCTCTATTTTTGTCCTCAAACTTAATTTTGTAGTTTGCCTGGGCACAGGATTTTCGGTTAAAAGTCATTTTTCCTCTGAATTTTGAAGGCACGACCCCACTGTTAATAGCATCCTTTGTTGCTGAGGACAGCCGTAAGTCTGACTTCCTCCTGTGTAGATTAAACGATTTTATTTCTGAACACTTCTAAGATTTCCTCTTTGCTGTTATAATCGAGAATCTTGTGAGGGAGTGTTTGAATGTGGGCGTTTCTCATTCATTTTTATCCACATTTGGTGGCCTGTTCAGTCTGAAGACCCTTGTCCTTTGTCAGCTCAGGTATTTTCTTTTATTGTTACCTTTGATATTTTCAGCTCCTGCATTTTCTTTGTTCTGGAACTTCTGTTTTATAGATATTGGACTTCCTGGGCCAGTTTTCTATATCTCTGAACTTTCCTAACGTATTTTTCATTAATTCTTTACTCTTCATTTTGGGAGATTTTCTTGACTTTATCTTCTGACCCTCCTGTTAAATTTTAAAGAGTTAGGCATTTTTTTAACTTGCTTCTCTTTGTCCTCTGTTGTTGTTTTTTTTTTATGACAGCTGGTTCATATTTTCCTGTAACAGCCTGTTTATGGGTAGAAACTCTCTCAAATGTCTCTGAGGATAGTAAATTAAAAGTTCTTAAATTCTTTCTCCCAGATTACCTCTGTTTCAACAATGTTGCTTTTCTTTCCCGTTCTTTTGCGTCTTTGGTTTTCCTCTGATGCTTAGTGATCCTTGTTTAGCTGTTTTCTTTCTGGATGGAGGACTGGATTAATGGACAGCTGTGGTGGTTAACCCCGCTGGGGGTGGGTGCGTTTCCCCAGCAGACCCCATCCCTGAATGGCAGGGCTAACTGAGATGGCTGGCTACCAGGTGGGCAAGCCACATTAAATCTGAATTTAATCTGGGGTAGCAACTTTCTCCTTCAGGGCTTAATTCTCCCCAGAAAGTTTGAGCCCTGTGTTTAGAGAGAGGCTCTTTGTGTCTGCAAATCTAGAGAGTACAGTCCCCAAGACCCCTTTAGTTTCTGACACCCATCGCAAGTTCTGGGTCCCCAAGGCCCACCCTTAGGTTCATTAATCTCCAGAAGGACTCAGAGAAGTCACTGAAAGCTGTTATGCTCACAGTTATGGTTTATTACAGCTCAAGGATAGAGACTAAAATGAGCACATAGGGCGGAATCCAGGAAATTACCAAATGTGGGGCTTCCAATTGTCCTCTCTCCATGGAGTCATGGACAGCGTCACTCTCCCAGCATCGATGGTGACCATATGCACAGGTTATTGCCAACCAGGGTGCTCACCCAAGGCTTGGTGTCCAGAATCTTTACTTGGGCTCTGTCACATAGACAGAGTTGGCACCCACATGGCTGGTCTCAGTGTCCAGCCCCTCAGGAGGTCAGCTGATACTGCCTGACCCAGGTCCCCCCAAGCCCCCAAATCCCCTCATTTCTATCTGGCTGGCCCAGGGCCCCAGGTAAACAAAGATACTTGTACTGAGCAGGACTTTCCAAGAGCTTGGAGACGACCTCCCAGGAGCCAAGGGCAAAGGCCAGACCTCTCTTTGGGTAAGATTAAATTCTTTAGTACACGGTGTCCATCCTGAAATCAACGGGCACCCTGTAGGTACCGGGGTGGAAGCAGCCTACTTGTTCTGCAACAAGATGAAATTCTCTAGTTCCTGCTTCACAGCCCCTCTGGCACTCCCTACCTGCCTGCCCCGAGCGGGGCACCTTCCTGCCGCTGAGCTGAGTGGAGCATTCCCCCTCTGCCCGTCTTTCCCTGGTAACTGGTTTGATCCACGGTTTCCTCCACCTGAGCTTTCCATCGATGAATTCGTTCACTTCCTGTCTCCCGGAAATTCGTCATCACCTCTAGTCCAATGGTTGCCTCCCTCTTGCCTTCTTCTTTACGTTGTTATGGGTTTATTCCCTTTTCTGTGTCTTTTCTGGAGCTTCATTGGACTCCAGGAGGGAAGAAAGGTCAGCCCGTGGGCTCAGTCTGCCATCTTGAATCAGAATGCAATTTCTTTTGTTACTTACTAAACACAATATGATATTTAGCATTTTGTCCCTTCATCCTGAACCGCTTCAAGAAATTTGTTATGTGACCAATCAAGGACCAATCAGATTTGTCCTGTGGCTCAATGAAGGCACCCAGAACTTGGAGTTCTGTAGACCCAGCTTCTGGCCCTGGATATGGACAAGCCATTTAACTTCTGGCAAGTTACTTTATATCTTTGGAAACTGTAAAGCACAATGATGCCAATTGCAGAATCAGACTGCCTGGGTTTATATCCAGGCTCTACTCTTTACTGGCTGTGATTCCTGGCCAAGTTACTTAACCTCTCTGTGCCTCAGTATCCTCAGTGAAATAAGGATAATAATAGCGTCTATTCCTAAGGCTATGGTAAGGATTTAATGGGTTAACCCCTGTCAGGTTCTTATAACAGAACCTGGCACATACATATTAGTTGTTTTGTTATCATTGATTTGTGCTTCTATTTTCCGCTCCACAAATCTGGAACAACGGTACTTAAGTTGTGTTATATAATGTTTGTTTAAATAGGCATTATACACACTATTATATTGTAGGGATCTGAATTAGTCTGATTAAGAGCTAAGCTCCTGTTTCCAGAGATGGATCTAGAAGGAGGTTCTTTTTCTTCTAAAAGAGGGAGACTTGACACAGACTCAGATTCAGAGTGTGGATGAAGCTCGACTCCGCTTGCTGCCCCCTCCTGTGTTTCTGAGACCCAGCGGTAGAAAGGGCAGGATTCCCTGGCCGCAGGGGGCATCCGGGTTTGTTCTTTTCCGCTGCTCCTGGCAGGATTCTGAGCACGTGGCCAGCGGGAAAGGAGGAGAGGAGGGTCTCCACGGCCTGCAGGCCTCCAGGAAGCAGAGTCCTTCCTTGGGCAGCAGAGGATCCCACTCCTTCGAGCAGGTCTGCGTGGATGCAGGAGCCGTGACGGGCACCTCGTGTTGTCTCTGGCTGTCCCGGGGAGGGATCCTCATTCTTCTGCGACAGGCTGGGGCCGTCCAGCCAGGCAAAAAGGCGCCAAACTGCCAAGGCACAAGTAACCGGTGAGGCCACTTTTTTGCTCCCACCTGTCCGCCTGCTCCTTGCGGCCTCCGTTAACTGGCTGACCTGCAGTGATTCTCAGACTTTGGCACATAGAAGAATCACCCGGGAAACGTGATAAAAAAGCAAATTTCCCGCCCGGTCTCACTCCAGACCCTCTCAGTCACTATTTCTGGGACTGGAACCTGGGCTAGGGTGGTTTTCCAGGACGAATGGGGTTCCCCAGATGTGGAACTTCCAATGTTAAAACCGAGAAAGTTCTGGGTAAACGAGGACCAGTCGATCACCT